AATAAAGAAAGGTATCTGTTTGACTAACACAGAATTTATTGCATAAACCTATCAAACCAAACAATACCTTGAGCTTGTTTGTCATATACAATCCTTTTCCTTCCTCAGCCATATATCACTATCTGCTTGTGTGTTATTTCTTGGCCAGCGGATGACTACTTACTGGCTCCTCACCAGCTTGCAAGTTGCCAAGACTGGATTCATTCTGATATATTTCTATAACATGACAAGCTTTTATTTAGTTGGCTAACTGAGGAATTAATTCCCATTTCATATACAGCTCAATAGGTTGTCAAAATTGAAAGATCTTCCTGGCTGGTTCCATTATGACTGTTCGTAAAGGAGGTCAACAAAGAGATATTGGGCCTGTTAAACTCGCACGAAACCATTCTAGACTTTGGGCAATTCTGCAGAGCCAAAAATCTAGCTTTCAAAGCAGAAAAAAATTGGTCAATTCTACTCTGACTTCTTATCACAGTTGATTCTGCTCCAGGGGAAACCGACTAACTCTGACCATACCTCGCCTAACTAGAAACATCCTCTTCGTTCAATGTGTTATTCATTAAAAGATTGCAGTTAGTCTATATGCACCTTCCAAACTGGCAATCTCCACCATCTAGAATGGCAAGGGCAACAGATGCACGGGGGTAAGTTTATTTTTTCCTCCAAGTCGCACACATCCAGATTTGGAACAATATCGAAGTTCCTTCACTGTCACTGGGTCAAAAATAAGGAATTCTCTCCATACGCCCCAACAAGAAGGCAGCTCACTGTCACCTTCTCCAGGCCGTTATGGATAGGCAGTAAATGCTGGCTTGGTCACCAAATAAAAAAAGTATTCACTACACATTCAAAATTCTGTTCAGAGTATGGTTCACTTCAGCAGAATGGTGTCTTCTTGCTTTCGTATTTTAGATTATACCCTTAACACGTCATTGTCTAATTTTCACAAAGTTACCGCTGGTCTTGTATTCCAGAATTTTTATTTTTGTTGAGAGCTGGATGAAGGCAATACTGGAAAATTTCCTTTTAGAAAAGGCTCCAAGCAGTCCATATCGTGACTAAGCTGAATGTTTGGGTGAGGGGGATTCCTGAGCCAAGTCACTCTCTGGTTCCATGTCAGAGTGTAAACCCTTGGAGCACTCAGCGTATCCTTATGAAGGATTGTCCTTTCATAGAGAGATATTTGCAGTTTCTGGCTCTGGAACGCAATCCCCATAATGAGGAAAGTTTAGGATATTGCCTCCACTCTTCTTAAAATAGATTGAATGATTCAAAGGACCAGACTTAATGGGGTGTTATTCTCTCTCAGTAGTGCCCTTTTACACTTGTTGGTGCACATTTAGATTAATTTTTTTTTTCAGCAATTTTGCAGGCAAGTGAGAGTTGAAAACAGTGTAGTGAGGACAACATGCAGTTTGTGACCTTGGTAAACAGAGAAACAAATAGTGTATATTCTTAACCAGCGAGATCAAAAAATTGAGGAATAAAGGGCTGAGAGGAAGGCAAATTAAAGGGTCAGTATCAAATCAAGTGGAGGAAGAAAAATGAAGAGAGGAGTATAAAAGAGATTGGATAGAGAGCGTTAAAATAAAAGAATAAAAATTTAAAATGTGACAGTCTTAACATCTCTAGCAATTCAGTCTGAGGGGAGGAAACGGCATTTTGAATTATTCAATGTCTGGGTGAAGACCATTGAATGATACTTAATATCAATACTAACATTGACAGAGTACTTGCACTGTTGATTAAACTGTCTGTGGTATGCTTAGTGGAAAATTAATATGCAACTTAATGAAAATTATGATGTTACGGGTCACGTCACTTTTGCAAAGCTATTAACAAATCAGCAGCTTGAGGTAGTTCACAGTTTCAGGGTTATTTCTTCCTCACTGCTTGTTGTCAGCTAACTTTTACTGACAGTAAGAGTCATTCACATAGTTATCCTTGCAGTGAATTCTGGACCAATGTGTTATGTCCCCAAGGTTCCTTTTTCTGAAATAAAGTAGAGCATTCAAGCAATCCTTTGTTGAGAGACAATCTGCAAAATGGATCTTTCAGAACCAGTGGCATAACAAATAGCCACAATGTTCTACGACAGAAGGCAAAATGATTGAACTGGATACTGTAATCTAAGGTTACTTTCTTATCATATCTTCTTGTATCCAAAAACGTTCATGAAGTCCCAAGGTTCTCCGCAGACTGGCGCTGCTGCCTCAGCAGTAGAAATATCATTTCGTTATTTGAACCTCCGTACTGCTCATTTGGGTGATTTCATTTTGTTGCTTGGAAAACTCAGCAGGTCTGGCAGGATCTGTGAAGGAAAAAAAAATCAGAGTTAACGTTTCGGGTCCAGTGACCCTTCCTGATTTACAGCTTCTGCAGTTCTTTCAGTTTTCGTTTTGTTGCTTGTCTGAGTAAGAGTCGGCAGGAAATTATGCTTCTGCACTCAGAAAAAAAAACACTACTGAGGATGTGGGCAGCTGAAATAATGGAAAATGCTGAAAACGCCCAGCAGATCATATAGCATCTGTAGAGATGGGAAAACAGTTAACTTTTCAGGTTGCTAGCTTTCATAAACTGCCCAATATGTTTTAGCTACAGGCTGTTTTAATTTACAGTCACTTCCTTTTGTTCTTAGAGCAGTCTGTTTTTCAGTAGTACTAATGTCAATGACTGGCCTGTATTTAAAATGGCTTCCTTCAGCAGACTAACACCTAAGTTTCCTGTTCTGCTTGGGCATAAGTCCATAGGTACATGGAGGGTAGTTTGGGAGGACTGTACTGTAACTATGGCCCTCATTCTTTCTAGTTCACTCATCTATCTTTTTTTAATCTCCATGATTACTGTTGGCATGTTTAACGGACTTGTATGAAGTTTGTTTCTTTGCCGTCTTTCAAAAATGTTTTCCAGGCCCTTTTTTTTTTTAAAGAAAAAGCAATAGTTGCTGTACACTTTACAGTTAGAAGGTAGAGGCAGTTCCTGTGTGGCTGTCTCCATTCCAGTTTGAAATCTGTGTACTTCAGTCCTTACGGATTTAAGTTAACTGTCTAACATTTGGCTGTGTGTTTTTAAAAAAAAAAAAAAAAGTCTTGCCTCCCTCAGTTCAGACACCTGTTCAGTGTACATAATGTGAAGGTTCTTGGAGTCCATAAGATGTAGAAGCAAAAATAGGCCATTAGGTCATCAAGTCTGCACTGCCATTCAGTGAGGTCATGGCTGATCTGCTAATCCTCAACTCCACTTTCCTGCCTTTCCCCTGTAATCCTTCATTCTCTTACTGGTTAAAAAGCCGTCTACGCCTCGACTATACTTAACATCCAGCCACAACAGCCCTCTGTGGTAAAGAGTTTCACAGACATGCCACCCTTTGAAAGAATCCCTCCTCATCTCTGTTCTAAATGGGTAACCCCTTATTCTGAGATTATGTCATAGACTCTCCCACAAGGGGAAACACCCTTTCCGCATCTACTGTCAAAAACTCTATGAACATAATCTCATATATTTCAATAAGCTTGCCTATCATTATTCTAAACTCCAATTTGTACAAGCACAACTTATTTAACCCCTCGTCATCAGAGAGTCCCCAATACCAGTATATCTTTCCTCCTGATAAGGAGCCCAAAACTGTTGTTAGTATTCCAGCTGAGGTCTGATCAGTGCCTTGCATAGTTTTGGCAAGACTTCCTTTTTTTTCCCCTCACTTGAAGAAGAATCTGTTTGGTGTAAAAACTCAATTGCTGCTGCTGGTAGCCACTCCTGCCAGGTGATCTGTGCAGTGGTATCTCCTGCTTATCTGTCCTGCGTCATCTTTGCTTCTACTCTGATATTTGTCATCCGACTACACCTAGGCTTATCGCTCTTTCTGCTGCCCTATACTTTTTTCTTCTTCATCAATCTTGTCAATTGTGATCAAATGGCTGAAATACTGAGATTCTGAAGAAGGGTCTAGGCCCGAAACGTCAGCTTTCCTGCTCCTCTGATGCTGCTTGGCCTGCTGTGTTCATCCAGCTCTACACCTTGTTATCTCAGGCTGAAATACTGACCTTGTTTTTTAGATGTAGTTGTTAGACGTTCTTTTTACTCTTGTAACTTCAAAAATCTACAAATTTGTCTTGTGCTTATGTCTTAGCACCCGCATTCCTAAGGCCTCTCTTATTGTTTTCATTGATCTTTACTTGCAGCCCAGGTTTCTGGGGCACATTAGAAAGTGGATAGAATGTAGCATCTTGTGCGTTATTTCCTTTGTTGTAAGCTTGTGTTCCTGTTCACACATCTTCACCTTTTACAAGATTACAAGCCATTGCTACCCTTCTTCTGATTTCAGCATTGCAGCATCACCACCTCCTGCTATAATTTGTCCTAGTTAGGCAAACTTATCTAGTTTTTCCCAGTGTGACACGATCTACATCATCTTCACTTCAGTGTCTTCTAACATATTAGCCGCTTCATCTTCAATTTAGTTTCTTCTAATGTATTTCTTCTAGTTACCATTTCTGTCGTCTTTTTGGTGTTCAGACTTCAACTTACATGAAGGGGAATGGAGATAACAACATGGGAAAATGGCACAGAGGAGATTATCTGGATTGGCAGGGTAGGCTCAAAAAGGATGGTCGAATAGCCTACTCGTACTCCTGTACTGGAATCCATATTCTAAACTTCTGGATTTTACTTCATCGACAATATTTGTAGGGTCTTTTCTATTTTTGTTTCTCCTGCGTCTTTGGTAGCTGTCCTCTTTGCACACAGTACATCAGGAATGAAATAAATATTCAATATGGGATCAATTTGTTGCAAACTTCTCGAGTTGAGGAAATTGAGGACATGATCAACACGAGGCTCTTGATGGAGCTAATTTGGATAATGGTGTCAGGAAGGTAAAGTATTAATACTAGTTCTGATTTTTTTTCTTTATTTTGGGGTTTCTCTCCTGAGCTATTTGATGCAATTTCTGGGTGAAACAAATATTTATGTCTGTTTTCTGTTTGCATTTCTATTAGGTTATGACTTTTCAGAAGTTTTGCGATGGTTTGCTGAGAGGGTTGATCGTATCATCCTGTTGTTTGATGCTCACAAGTTGGATATATCTGATGAGTTTTCTGAGGCTATCAAGGCACTGAAAGGCCAAGATGATAAGATCCGAGTTGTCTTGAACAAGGCAGACCAAGTTGATACACAGCAACTCATGAGGGTGTATGGAGCATTGATGTGGTCCCTTGGCAAAGTGATTGACACCCCAGAGGTTGTACGTGTCTACATTGGCTCCTTCTGGTCCAAACCTCTGCAGATTACAGAGAATCGGAAACTTTTTGAGTTGGAAACGGAAGACCTCTTCAGGGACATTAAGAGTTTACCTCGCAATGCTGCCCTACGCAAGCTCAATGACCTCATCAAACGAGCCAGGCTTGCAAAGGTATGCATTTAAATGATGCTTCAATCAACTTCCTTACAAAATGGTAATGGATCATGGTATGGTCAGCTGCTCGTAACCGAAACAAAACGCTACACAGGAGTGGAACCTGAAATAACTTCAGCTATTCTGGGAACAGTTCAGGTTAGGCAGTATCCGTGAAGAGTATGTCGGAGAAATGGGCTCAGTGTTTTTATCGGCAGCTGTCTAGATGGTTAGCTTTATTTGTATTTGGGACTGCATTTGTAGTTGTGGAAAACTGTGAATGGTTTGACTTTTTCTTAATTCACTCACTGGGTGTTATTTGGAGGGGAACTTGCAAATGGTGGTGTTCCCATGTATCTGTTGCCCTTGATCTTCTAACTGGTGCAGTCATGTGTTTGGAAGGTACTGTAAAGGATCCTCCATTTTTAGTAAGAGTTGTATACATTCTTATTCTCGCCTTTCAGTATATTTCATTGCCTGTTACCTTTTTAAGAGGCAGTCCAACTCCCCAGATTCTGAAATAAACTGATAAGCTGATGGGTGGCACTGTGGCTCGCACTGCTGCTTCACGACACCAGGGACCCGAGTTTGATTCCACCCTTGGGCAACTGTGTGGGTTTCCACCAGGTGCTCTGGTTTCCTTCCACAGTCCAAAGATGTGCAGGTTAGGTTGATTTGCCATGCTAAATTGCCCATAGTGGCCAGGGATGTGTAGGTTAGGTGCATTAGCCATGGGAAATGCAAGGTAACAGGGATAGGATAAGCAGGTGGCTCTGGGTGAGATGCTGACTGGAGGGTTGGTGAGATTCAATGGGCACTTAACAGAACAGCAAGTGGACAATGGATCAGCTTCATTCGTAAGCCCATCTCTGTTAGCTAGGTGAGATGGCATATTGGATTGATATAATCATTCTAATTGGTGTCATTGCTGCAGCTCCATTTGCTACAAAGCAAATGCTGTTTAATAACGAAGCTCTCTTTACCAACAATGATGTATATATTTAGTATCACACTCTTGGATTTACTGTACTGCATAACAGTCCAGTGGAAACTAGACAGACGCAATACAGCCCTTGCTTTGACCAAAGATAAAAGGCGTGTGATATTTATATAACTTGTATCCTGAGGATGTGCTTTTGAGTTGTGCTTGAAATTTTGGAACATCTAAAGCTGCAAGGTCATGTACAAACAGTAATTTAACGTCACATTTCCACTGATCAGTAGATTGAGGTTTTTAAAATGTTTTTTTTCTTTCTGGTCTGATAAAATTTTGAATATGGGCCATTTAAACATTTGGATTAGGAATGTATTTTATATTCCAGGGTACAGTGGCCTGATGAACGTTTGTTTTGATAATAAGAATCTTGAACTCATTTATTTGTGTCACTTGAAATTTCCCCTTTTAATCCTTTTAATTGTATTTACAGAATGCAAATAATTCAGGCTATGAAACATTTCACTTCTGTTCAGGATTTGTTGGGATAACTTGATAATTTGCCTTGAGTTTATCTAATGCATTTTCTTAATACCTACACAGTGGATTTAATAAATTAGAACAGAAAGTCTGGAGAAACTCAGGTCTGGCAACATGTGTGGAGAAAGAAACCGAGTTCTCCAGCATTTTCTGTTTTTAGTTCAGGTATTCAACATCTGCAGTATTCTGCTTTTCATTACTGCGGACTTTGTTGTTTTTCGATGTTGAGTTTAGGTTTATGAATCTAGGTTTAATGTTAGCTTCTGAGGTCCATCCTTTAGCTACAGTCTGCATCTGTGGTCTCTAGCTGACTTTGTATCTTCTGGATGAACCACAGCACACTGCTGGCCTCAAATTTCATCCACCATTCTCAATAATCCATCAAAGGGGCCCAAATTTGCTCCTCCCTGTCTGAAGTTTAACTGTTGGCACCTCTACCTTGTGAGCGTATCTCTGCTGTTGTGTTTTTCCGAACCTATTCGAGATCAATCTCATTGCCCTATACTTAGTTGTGTAAGTTCCTCCTGTTTAAATAAGTACGCAATTTTTTTTTTTTGTTTCGGTATATATCCGAATTCTATTTTGGGCATTCTCTGCTCTCAATAACCGGATGTTGTAATGATCCATGTGGTGAGGAAATGCCTTTAGTGTAATCCCTTTAAGACTAAAGTAGACTGGGGAGTATTCATGGACCAGCCATATAAATATTGTGGCTACAGGAGCAGATCAGAGACTAGGAATTCTGCAGTAAGCAATTTTCTTGCTGTCTCCCCTGTGTCTGACCACTATCTGCAAGGCATAAATTAGGGTTCTGAAATATTCTGGACTTGCCTGGGTTCGTGCAGCTTCTCAACATCACCATCCAGACAAACCAGTCATAGAGTCATAGAATAGTTGATGTTAAGTCCGTAGAGGCATACAGTACAAAAACAGATCCTTCAGTCACAACGCGTCTGTGCCGACCAGACATCCCAATCTGACCTACTTCCATTTGCTAGCATTTAACCCATATGCCTCTAAACCCTTCTTATTCATATACCCATCCAGATGCCTTTTTAAATGTTGTAATTGTACCCACCTCCTCCACTTCCTCTGATATCTCTTTGCATACACGCATCCACTCTGGTCCTTTTTAAATCTTTTCCCTCTCCCCTTAAACCTATTCCCTCTTGACTGGCATCCAATGTACCCCCTTAAATGTCACTCCAACACCGACACAGTATACGCCATGTACAGGATGCACTGAAGCAACTCACCAAGTCTCCTTTGACTGCAGTTTCCAAACCCTCGACCTCTCTTGTCTAGAGGGACAAGGGTCAAAGTTGCCTGGGAACACCACCTCCCAGGTTCCCCTACCAGCCACACGCAGTCCTGGCTTGGAAGTATATTGCTGATCCTGAATTGAAATTCTGGGGTTCTCTTCCCAGTAGCTCCTCTGAACTGTAGGAGTTCATAAAGGCAGCTCACTACCATGTTCTCCAGGACAAGTAGAGATGAGAACTAAATGCTGGCCAGTAACACCCACATGTTATGAATGAATGTGTTTAAATAAAATGTTTGCATGTGTCTCATTATATCTGCCACTAACGACTTTTTGATCCTTTTCTAATATGAAAGAAATTAAAACATGATATCGGTGCCATCCACATTGTGGTGTTTTTAAGTTTTTGGTGAATCATAAAATAGCAGAAAATCCATGACACAGTATGAGGCCATTTGGCCTACCATGCTGCTATCCAAAGATCTACCCAGACTAAATATGATTTCGGGTCTGGCAGTGTCTGTGAAGAGAAATCGGAGTTATGTTTCTGAGGAAGTGTCACCGGACCCGAAACATTAACTCTGATTTCTCTTCATAGATGCTGCCTGACCTGCTGAGCTTTTCCAGCAATTTCTGATTTACAGCATCTGCACTTCTTTCAGTTTTTTTTAAACATGATTTCAAGTAGACGTCAATGTCGTTTTAAAATGTTTTCCCTCTACAATAATGTTCTCTCATGAGTCCTCACCACCCCTCATTCTGTTCAATCTGACATTTAATATACCCACTCATACTGTGATCTTGCTTCAACCTGATTTCTCTCCCCAACTCTCTGCAATAGTTTACACCCATCTATTCCTTGATCTTTTGCAGCATTTTCTCACCAATCTCTTCCCCTTTCTTAGCCTTCATGTGTTTCCATTTCTTTCGGCCTTGCGTCTGTTGCACACATCAGTGATGTCATGTCTCAGTGCCTTTAATGCCCCATGAGCTGGAACTGCCGAAAACAACCTGGAAGCAGCTAAACTCACTTTGGCAGGGAGGTAGGTGTTGCACGTTAGAAATTAAATGCTTTTAGGCAGAGTCCAGGCAGACACTTTTTTTAGACAGAATTTAATTGCACCCAACTGTGCACTGTAAAATCTTCCAGCCTCCTGGCTCACTGTCTATTGATATTTTCTAACCAACCTGTTCAGAGACACACCTCTGGAGCAAGTTGGACTTGTAGCTGGTTCTCCTGGTGCACTACCACTGTGCCATAAAATCCCAATGAAAGCAGCAGAGGATGGTATTTGTTCTAGTATTCCTGACAAAAACAAAACCCAAGTTGAATCAATTTAAGAGGAGCCTGTAATTAAAAGGAAAATGAGGAGGGAGTATTGGGTGGTTCGAATTAAAACATCATTTGTGAGGCAAATGTCTGCCAGTTGATGTCCTTCCCAGCCCCAATCCCCAAAGTTTCTATTAACTAGTTATTGCACTATTACTTTCACCTATTCACCATTACTTTAACTGCTCACTATTTAGCATCCTGTTAACAGAATCTGATACCAAGTATAGGGAGTTACCCCAGGGGGCAAAGGAAGCAGATGGGGCTGTACAAAACATTAAGTGGCCTGGAGGAATGCAGGAAATAAGGGCGACAATAAGACTGGTTCAGAGGATGCGAGTGACATAGAGTGGGGCCAACATGAAGGGAGATGTGCTTAAATACAGATCGTGTGCTGGGGCCAGAGGAACACCAGTGGAAAGCTTGAGAAACACCCAACTTGGAATTCATGCAGGTATGAAAGTTAGCTTTATAGCCCTGAGGAACTGGAATATGGGAACAGGAGGCACAGCAGCATTAGCTCGTGATAGGAAATTCCTGCTATGGATGTTTGCATAAAAGGGCTTGCATTTGTACAGCGCCGTTCACAAACCCAGGATGTCCCCAGATTTTACAGCCAAATGCAAATGACATATAGTCCTGGATAGTTCAGCTGTGAATATTGACTACAGCCATCACAAAAAGTATGACAAAAGATAATGGGTTTTGTTGGCTGCATGCGTGCATCCTCAGCAAGATATTTAATGCTAAACTGCTGTGACATTGCAAATGGGGAAAGTGTAAACCATGAAGTGGATTATTAGGGTAATGTGATAATGGAGGTCATGGAAAGGTAATTCATCCAACACTTCTAAAGTATTGCATATTGTTTCTAATGTTGTGAGTACAACTTTAACTAATTTTTAACAATTAAAATAACCAAATAGAAAATTTTGAATAATTTACAAAGCAGAGAAAGTAACTTGGTTGGAATGGATAATGAAATGATACTAGAACTGAAAGTTTGTGCTCCAGAACTAGCTATACAGCCCTGAGGAACAGAGATACGGGTACAGGAGGCACAGTAGCATTAGCTTGTGGTAGGAAATTCATGCCTTGAATGTTTGCATAAAGGAAGGGCTTTCATTTGGGCAGCACAGCGACCCAGTGTTGCATTGCTGCCTCACAATGCCAGGGACCCAGGTTCGATTCCAGCCTCGGGCAACTGTCTGTGTGGAGTTTGTTCTTACTTTTTTTTTGTTAACCTGTTAACATGTCTCAGTTACATGGGACTTGAACTAGACCTCCTAGCCCAGAATAGGAATACTATCACTGCCCTGCATGAGCACTAACTTTGCACAATTATGTTTTTTGTTACATTTGATACTATCAGAAGTTGGGAGGTGTGTTACACGCCACAGATGTTCTAGTCTCTGATCTGCCCTTGGAGCCACAGTTTTTTATGTAAATGGCCCAATTTACGTTTTGGCCAATGGCAATCCCCATCCCAGCGTGTTCCCCGTGGCTGTGTGGGTTTCCTCTCTCAGTCCAGGGTAGGTGGATTGGCCATACTAAATTGTCCATAGTGTCCAGGGATGTGCAGGCTAGGTAGATTAGCCATGGGAAATGCAGGGTTACAGGTGTAGGGTAGCAGGTGTGGGTCTGGCTGGAATGCTGTTTGGAGGGTCGATGTGGACTCAATGGGCCAAACGGCTTGCTTCCACACTAGGGATTCTAACACTGAAATCTTCCCAGCAATGTGGAAAATTGCTGGGTACATGCTGTCCACAAAAAGCAGATAAATCCATTCCGGGTAATAACAATGTTATCAGTCTGTTCTTGATCATCGGCAAACTGATGGAAGTGTGCCGTTGACAGTGCCGTCAAACACTAATTATTCATCAACAACCTCCTTTAGAGGCCAGTCATCTTAACCACAGAGCATCACATCCAGAGTTCCTCGGAGGAGTGTCCTAGGCCTGACTATCGGTGTTTTGTTGATGACCTTCTCTTCAAAATAAGGTCGGAAGTTGGGATATTCACTGATGACCACACAGTTCACAACTCCTCAGACACTGAAATAGTCCATGTCTAATTGCAGCAAGAAACTATAACAATATCCATGTTTAGGCTGACTATTAGTAAGTAACATCCGTGCAACACAGGTACCAGACATGGCTATCTCTAAAAAGAAACCCCCCAACTGTCACTCCTTGACATTCTTTCGTATTAAGCCACTGAGTAACCTCTATCGACACACTGGGATGGGGATTGCCATTGGCCAAAAAGTAAATTGGGCCATTTACATAAAAAACTGTGGTTCCAAGGGCAGATCAGAGGCTAGAACATCTGTGGCGTGTAACACACCTCCCAACTTCTGATAGTATCAAATGTAACAAAAAACATAATTGTGCAAAGGCAGGGCAGTGATAGTATTCCTATTCTGGGCTAGGAGGTCTAGTTCAAGTCCCATGTAACTGAGACATATTAACAGGTTAACAAAAAAAAACTAAGGATGATCAAAGTTGGGTGGCAGGTAAAAAGTCTGGACAGAAAATGAAAAACCAAGAATGACTAAAGGATCACCAATGAAAGAAAAATTCTCAGTATAAGAGAAAGCTAACTAGAAATATTAAAACAGGTAGCAGGAGTTTCTATAAAGAATTTAAAAAAAAAAACACAATTACAAGCATTACTCCTATAGAGTGAGCATCCAGGTAATTAATAAAGGAAAATAATGACTTGTCAAATGAATTTAACAGGTAGTTTGCATCTTTCTAGAATGGATATAAGCAACAGTTGCATCTGACTAGAGTGCATGCAAGCAACATGCCAGCAATAGATGTACATCAGGAAATAAATGAGAGGAACTTAAACCAGTTAGGCACCAGGGAAGTGGTATTGAGCAAATTATTGGAACCAAAGGCTAACAAATCCCCAAACGCTGATGGACTTCATCCCAGGGTCTTCAATGAAGTGACTAGTAAGATTTAATTATGCATTGATTTTAATTTTTCAAAATTCCCTACATTTAAGAAAGGTTTCATTAGATTGGAGAATAGTGAATGGTGAATGCTCCTTTCTTCAAAAAGTGAGGGAGACAGAAAGCAGGAAATATGTTGAAAGCTATTATTTGAGATATCATAGGGCATTTACAAAAAAATTCGAGATAATCGGGTAAAGCCAATATGGTTTTGTGAAAGGGAACTCTTACTAAGCAATTTAAATTCTTTGTAGAAATAATACATCCTTTGGATAAAAGGCAAACCAATTTATGTGCTGTACTTAGATTTACTGAAGATTTGACAAGGTGCCGCAATAGTAAAAGCTCATAATGTAGCGAATACCATGTTGGCGTGGATAGAAGATTGGCTACTACCAGGAAATAGGAAGTAGGCATAAGTGGGTCATTGGTTGGTAGGATAGGAGTGGTGTGCCGCAGAGATCAGGGCGGGGGGGCGGCGGTGCCTGTACATTTTACAATGTACAAAAACAAATTTACATGAAGGGCCGGAAGGTATGGTATCTAAATTTGCTGGTGTCACATGTAGGAACAAAATATAGGGGAGGCAATGACCTAGTGGTATTATTGCTGAACTGTTAATCCGGGGACCTAGGTTTGAATCCCGCCACGATAGATGGTGAAATTTGAATTCAATAAATATCTGGAATTAAGAGTCTAATGATAACCATGAATCCATTGTCGATTGTCGAAAAAACCCATCTGGTTCACTATTATCCTTTAGTGAAGGAAACTGCCGTCCTTCTCTTGTCTGGCCTACATGTGACTCCAGAGCCACAGCAATGTGGTTGATTCATAACCGCCCTCTGGGCAATTAGGGATGGGCAATAAATGCTGCCTAGCCAGTGACGATCTCATCCTGTGAATGAATTTTAAAAAAAAAAGTAAGTTGTGAAGAGATCATAAGGAGTCTATGAAAAGATTACAAATAAGTTGAGTGGGCAAAGTTGTGACAGATGGAGTCTAATGTGAGAAAATGTGAAGTTGTCCATTTTGGCAGGAAGAATAAAAAAGGAAACATTATTTAAATAGTGAGTTATTTTGAGGTACAGAGGGATCTTGCGCAAGAATTGCTGAAGGGTGGTACTATAGGCAGCTCTTGCAAATAATTAAGCAGGTTAATAGAATGGTATCATTTATTGTAAGGAGAATTCTTGGAAAAGTAAGTAAATCATTCTTCAGTTATACATCTGGAGTGTTGTGTAAAGTATTGGTCTCTCTATTTAAGGAAGGGTGTAAAAGTATTGGGGATAGTCCAGAGAATGTTTACGAGACTAGTACCTGGAATGGGCAGATTGTCTTATGAAGGAAGGTTAGACTGACTAGGCCTGAATCTGCTCTGGTTAAACAGAGTAAGAGACAACCTGATTAAATCACAGCGTCCTGAAGGGTCTTGATAGGGTAGATGTGGAGAGATGTTTTTCTCGTGGGACAATCTAGAACCGGGGATCATCCTAGTTTTAAAAATAAGGGGTCATCCATTTAGGACAGAGGAGATGACATTTTTGAGTGTTGAGTCTTTGGCATGCTCTTCCTCAAAGCAGTGTAAGCAGAACCTTTGAATGTTTTTGAAGCAGAGATAGATACTTGATGAGCAAGGAAGGTGAAAGGTTATCAAGGGTAGATCAGCCATGATTTTACTGAATGGTAGAGCAGACTTGAGAGAGACCTACTCCTGCTCTGGATTCATATTTTTAAGGTTTCTAAGCCGGAAGTATGTATAGATATAAGATTCTTAAAATATTATGGGGAATATGTGACAAAATACACTGGATGTTGAATGCATTGTCTAACTCCTGGTGTTGTTTTCTAGGTTCATGCCTATATCATCAGTTATTTGAAGAAGGAGATGCCAGCTGTTTTTGGGAAAGAACTCAAGAAAAAGGAGATGATAAGTAGACTTCAAGAGATATATTTCACACTCCAGCAGGAGCATAATATCTCTGCTGGTGATTTTCCCAACGTAAAAAAGATGCAGGTATGACAGTATCAATGTGCTTTCAATCATTTTTCCATTTGACAGTGCACAGTGTAATTTTTTGAGTGGAGACGTTGGATGTGTGTGAGAGAGAGGGAAGGAATTAATGCTGTTATTTCTAGAATTAATTTACAGCAATCCCATCTCGCTATTCTTTTAAAGAATAAGTAATGAATATTACCCTGCGTACTCCTGTGACTCACCACTTCAGACATTTTGAGAGCTGGATGTTACATTGTTAGCAAAATGAAAGAATACAGAATGGGGTGGACCAAAGAGTGTTTGTTTGTTCATTTAGTTAAAATCCTTCTTTAGGTGTAAGTGCATAGAAGTTACAGTATGAAACAGGTCATTCAGCTCAACCTAACTGTGTTGTTTCTTACTCTCCATGTAAGTAAGTAATTCCAATCATATTTATCCAACCTGTTCCTGGATCCTTTTTTAATTCTCTTTTTCTTCCATCTATTCAGTCTATCATAAATATTGACACAATTTCTTCTTCAACTCTTGAAACTGGAAGTGAATTTAATAGTTTCTGAGCCCTGTGCAAACATGTTACTCCTGCTTACTGTTCTAAATATCTTGCATTTCATCTTGAATCTCTGAGCGTTTCATCTGGACCATAGTGGTGTTAGGGAGGGAAGTCCAGAATTTTGATCCATAGCAGTGGAAGAAACTGTGATATATTTCAAAGTCAGAGTGGACGATTGGAATGGCTTGGAGGTTGTGTTGTTCCAATTTGCCTGCTGCCCTTGTCCTTCCAGATGGTTTTGGCCCTGGTTTTTGGTAGGTCCTGACCTGCTCTTGTATTTGTGGGACTGGTCCAGTTCAATTTCTAGTCAGGGCTAACTCTAGAAGGTGGTAGTGGAGGATACAGCAATGATAATGCTATTGAACATCAAGGGACAATGGTAAGATTTTCTCTTGTTGTAGTTTTCTGGTTCTTGTGTTGCGTGAAAGTAACTTGCCACTTGGCAGCCCCAGCCTGAATGTTATCCAGGTCTACAGATGGACAAGGACTGATTCAGTATCTGGGGAGTCACGAATAGTGCTGAACAGGCAGTCATCAGCAAATGTCATTGATGAAGCAGCTGAGGATTTTGAGGTGCTATTCTCCTCTCTCCCAGTGCAGCAAGACAGAACGTAGAATTTAAGCTCAAGTAACCAGTAAATCTGGAATATAATTTCTGCAATGATGACTGTGCAACAATCATTGACTGATTTGATTTGATTTATTGTCACATGTACCCAAGTACAATGAAAAGTTTTTTTGTTTTGTGTGCAGTACAAGCAGATCATAATATACAAAGTTCATAAGATGATTAAACAGAGTGAGGAATACAAAGTTATGGCTGCAGAGAAGGAGTGCAAAAAGCAGCAATTGAGGTTTAAAAGTGCAGAACAATTGTAAGAAATGTGAGAATAAGATCTGCTGTAGAGAGTCCACAAAGAGTCACCCTGTGTCGGTGCCATCTTGTCCTCTGTCAAGGCGGCAAGAGTCATGTATTATAAACGTTTGTCTGATTCACTAATGTCCTTCAGGAAACATGATGTGGCTTCCTTACCCACCTAACCCTCCTTGTGACTCCAAACCAACAGCAAAGTCTCTTTAACTGTTCTTTTAAATGGCTCAGGACACTACTGTACACCACACAGTTGTATCAACATTGTACATAAATATCAAAAAAAATTAAAGCCAGACGACCACTCAGCATCAATCCAGGAACCGGAGATGACGGAGCCATGCAGAATTCCCCTCAATAACATCTTGGGGCTTATGCTAAATATGGGAAAACTATCTTATAGATTAATTGAGGAGCAGCCTGCTGCACTCTCCAAATTATATTTTAAAGCCAGTGCCCTAGACAACAACTTATTGTCCCTGGATATGTCCTGTCCCACTAACAGGACAGATCCACCAGAGGTGTTGGCATAGACCTGTACAGTCAACATGTTTGGCAATGGAAATCCTCAACATTGACTCAGGACCCCATGACACATCATGGCAAACATGAGCAAAAACACGTCCTGTAGGTCACTAGCTATTGCCCTCCCTCGGCTGATGCATTCATACTCCTTCATGGTGAGCATCCTACGGAAAAAAGCACTGAGGGTGTTGAGCAGAATGTATTCTGAATGGAGGGGGGAGGGTGACTTCCAGTGTTCATTACCAAGAGTGGCTCAGTTGCAGTACTACTGACTGTGCTGGTCAAGTTTTGAAGGCGATGTTTGTCAGGCTGGACCTGTGGCTGGTACCAAGAGAACCAACTAGATAGAAAGACCCACTTGTCCCTACCTTCATCAGTTTACCCATGTCTTGGATGCATCTGTCCATGCCAGCATTGATAGGAATGACCACAGCACATTCTTTGTGGAGAGGATCTCCCGTCTTCAAATCAATGATACTGTCCATTATGCTGTGTGCGAAAAAAGATCGATTTAATCCCAGATTTAATAGCTGACAGTTACTCACCTCTAAGTTGCTGTGAGCCATTTGTAACAAAACTGTATTCAACAGCAATCTAATTTTAGTTTCTGGAATAACCATCATTCTACTATTACCATTAGGCAAAGGAGTCCAGAGTTCAGTAAGGACTGCAGCAGAAATAACACCAAATAACCATGCATATTTAAATATGGAAATAAAAGAAAAACACTGCAAATTCTTGAAATTTGAAACAGAAACAAAGTGCTGGAGAAACTCAGCAGGTCTGATAGCCTAAATATGACTCTCTTTCAGAACTGAAAGAGGTTGGAAAATGGTTTTTATGTTGTTGACTGAGGAGGCGGTTGAGTGAGTGGAACAGATGGTGAGAGTGCCCAAAGCAAAAGACCGAGGAAGAGCTAATAGTGGTAAAGAAGAGACAGAAATGTAAAATAGGTGTAAATGGTGGGTGTGAAATGGAGGAAATGGGTCTGCACTGAGAGAGAAAGGAGAACAGGGACAGAAGGTCAAGCTGTACAGATGTTGAACTCATGTTGAGTCTTGAAGGCTGTAAAATGCTTAAGCTGAAAATGAGGTGTTCCTCCTCCAGCTTGTTTTGCAACGGAGTCACCTGGTCTGTGCAATGTAAAGGAGACTGCATTTTGATCAGTGAATACCCAGCGGACTAGATTGAAAAAAGTGCAAGTAAAACGCTACTTCACCTAGAAGGTGTATTGGCGGCCTTGGGCAGTGAGGAGGGAAGGAGGTGAATGGACTAAGTATTACACTTTGAGTTTGCATGGAAAGATGTCATATTGAATGAGGAAGAGTTAGAAGTGATGGAGGAGTGAATGCCACCAGCAGAATGCTGACAATGAAGGGAAGGGAAGGGAAGATTTGAGTACATTACCAAACTGGATGGATTCATAAAGCACAATGAGTGCAGCTTTAATTCCATGTAATTTGGTACCTGTGATTCCAGTGCAGACTATTCCATTTACACTGAGCAATGCATGGCATCGCATTGGAATATGATTAGTCCTCTTTGGCAGAAAGATTTGAAACTTGTGTGGTGAAAAGAATGTACCCTTTTATTATAATCTAAATGTTCACATTGTAAGGCAGAGATAACACACATCAGGAGGTGAGAAAGTTGTATTTTATCCATTGGTGATTTCCTCCACCCTATCTGGACCATGCATTATCATTAGCGTTCATTCTTATATGGCTTCTGATGTGAAGTTTGAAAGTATAGAAGCTGTCGGGCAGTGTTTTAATGTTTAGCCCTGCTCTCTCATCCTGCTGGCACCGCATCCATGATTCAGCAGCTTAAAGTGTGACTGAGGTTTCATAACATAATTGTTGGGGGCTAGCTCATCTATTCTGAGCTAATGCTTGATAAAACAGATCATATAGGAGTAACACTGGGTAGTGTTGTTAATATTTACACAACTGCAGTGCCTATAATTGCCAGGAGAGGGTATAGGTCAGATTGAGTGGAAAAAGAAAATATATTTTAATTGGTCTGGTGAAACATGTTATAACATACCTGTGTCTTGTGGGATTCAAAGCTGGAACATCCTAGCCAGAGGTAGGGACCAGCGCTGTGCCATATGCCTGCCCTTTAAAGTTTGTATTAAAGCATAGTAGTCATTGATCAGGAAAGATAAAGATAAGGCTTCGAGTCGAATTGGGGAGACTTCCCAATGGATTTCTAATCTATTACCTTGACTGCTTGGCCACCCAGGGTTCTCACAGGCTAAACTAATATAAACAGATAAGCTGGCTATTGAAAGCAGGGAGACATTAACAATGGATGAGTCATTTGCCTAATGTTTCAGTCTTGTAACAAATACCTGTTCAAACTGCAAGTATCTCTAGCACAAATGGTATATTGCACATGTTTTTGTCTCTTTGAGCTAGGCCAGTGTATGTCTATGCACTAGGTTTGTTTTATAGAGTATGTGTATTTGGGTTTATTTATTTGTGATGTTTACAGGAGCATTTATGTTGAGGGAGGTTGAGAGTGCATAATGGGCGATCTTTAGGTATCTCATCTCATTGACACTTCTGCTATTGAGGTTGCCTTCAGGTTAACCACATTGAGAAAGAAAGTAGTTCTGTCTTGACTGAGATAACAGCATTCACCTACTGAGCGAGGGAAGGCAATCTAACAACTAACCCTACTTTGAAAATATCATCTGTACCTTTCGTGTCAAAATTTTGACACCGTTCAAAGATTTCCAGAATTTGGAATGTCCAAGAACCTTACCACATATAACGGTTGAAGCATGAACTGTATTGAACTAAGTTTTACAGTTAACAAGAATTAGGAGTTAAACAGGTGGAATAATATTTTTCCTTGATAACCCTAATATCCTGGAAATATCAACATTTCCAGCTTATGGCTTGGGGTTGTTTCCATGCTCCTTGTTTCAAGCAGCTGATCATATTCAAGCTCTTCTGTTTTAGAATGAGCATGTCACTAGTTCATGTCATTGGGCAGAAACTGAGAAATGTTGATTCCTAATTGCATCGAAATCCATGTTTCCAAAACCAAGGGTTTAGAACAAAA